AAAGAATATATAATGTGAGTATATATTCTTTATATATTTATATACACTTATATATTCTTTGCTCAAGGTATCACTCACTCATCGCAACACAATGGGCCTGTAATTAGGGAGCTTGTTGTGGAGTCGTAAGAGGCCATTCTCATTGGAGATTTTTTTTCGCAAGCGATATTGGAGAGTTCATCATGGGTAAATAGCTTCCACCAATCTGGATCTTATTCTCAAGTAAAAAAGAAACAGTGAGAATAGTCCTTATAAGTCTCAGTTTAAACCTGAAAACTCTCAAATTTCACTAATAGCCGCTAACCCAAAACGTCTAGACTGTTCAACGCTGGATGTAAAATTGATTGATACATTGAATCAGGTTATTGTATTTATTACTTTAAATGGATGTAAAAACATGGATGTCTGCAAAACGCACTCATTCTCCGTACTTTTTGATCACCTCTCAAATGTAATTTTAGCTTACTTGGAAGTAAGATATGTAGAGATGCTAAGGTTTTGTACCCAAGAATGACCGATGACTACCTCTGCAAACCTATAAAAGATTTGAATATTATGGGAAATAAGGTGTGTGATTGTCTACCAGAACGCTATTGTGTTGAAGGCGTATTAAAAGATATGGAGGCAAGTAAAAGTTTTTAATTGCTCATTGAGAATAAAAGTTTAAATACATATTGCACTATGCAAGTCTGCAATTTAAAAGAAAACTCATTTTCTGGTGTCCAGCTTGTTTTTGATCCCATACCAGTGAAACAGTAAAACTACTATGATTGGTTAATTTTTTTTTCTTTTGATAAAGTTCTATTGCATTCTAATTTTCTCGTTAAAAGGATTTGTAGCTCAAGTTCAAGTGCAATGTAAATGCAAAAAGTTCTACCCAGCAAAATTCTTCCTGCCTAAACACATTTTGCAGAAAAATCATTTTAAAGCAATAGGAAGATGTGGTTACGGAATCGATCATCATTTTTATTATCATTTTTTTCATGAAAATTAATATGGTATAATATGTAAGTGCAAGTTGCAAACTTTAGGTTTACCACTGGCAATGGTTGTCACCCGAAGGGCTAGCACCGTTTCTGCACAGTTTCCTCTCCTGCAGTCTCTGTTATCGAAGACGGGTAACATGGATGGTAAACACATTTTCCTTTGCTGAGCTTCAACCAAACGTTCCTTTGTTGATTCAGATTTTGTGAGGTTATTTAAAGTAAATATCAGTAGATTTGAAGTTACAATAAGTTAAATCAAACATCAAGAATGCATAATACAAAATAATATTTTTAAAAACCACGTTTTTGTAGTAGAGAATAATAATTAAAAAAATTTTGAAAAACAAAAAACGTGGGGAGCATGAAATACACTCTAGTAATGTTATATTAGTGTGTGTATGTGTGCTCTTGAGAATATGTGTATGTATATCTGTAATTGTATCTGAATGTGGATGCGGAATATGTTTGTGTATATGCTTATGTGGATGTATATGTGGCTGTGCATGTGTAGGAGTAAGAAAATGTGTATATGTACTGTTATGCATTTCATGCACCCCACGTTTTTCGTTTTCCAATTTTTTTTTTTTAATTATTATTCTCCACTACAAAAACGTGGTTTTTAAAAATATTATTTTGTATTTTGAATTTTTTTATTTTAAATAAAAAAAAATTTAATTTCTAATTTTTATTTTATATTTTTTAAAACTTATTACTCTTCAATTATTATTCTTCACTACAAGAAACGTGGTTTTTAAAAATATATATTTTCATTTAGATTATTTTTCTTAGTCAGGAGTAGTCAAGACTACTACAAGACCACTACTAAAATAATAGAACTTTCATTCTAAATTAGGGATACAAAAATCTTTTAGTTTTATGCTGATGACAACCAAAAAAATCTGGAAATGAATGAGGAAAAACTGGATCCTATCACGTGATTTTTCAGCCAATAAAAATACTCCGACAATAAAAATCTTTTCACCTGACATGTAATACTAATTTGAAATAATGGAATCGACAACAAAAGACAATCTCGAATTTTTTTTTTTAATTTTTTTTTGCTTTGTATGTCTTTTTTCTCTTCATTTTCATGCATTGTCATCCAATTCTGAACTATGTGCCAAATTTGAAGTTTGTAGCTAGTCGGGAAGTTAGTTTAAAATCGATTACAAAATTCCACCCGGACAGACATACACGAAGGCAAGTTTATATAAACGTGGTAAAATAATTATAAAATGATCGTTACTTCATAAGCAGTTTTTCAATCAACAATTTGTGATTTAAAAACTTTCGAATAACCAAAAGTAATAGATATTTTCACTTATTGGCATACTTTTCTTCATGCGTAAAAGATTTTCTCAAAATTAAAATAGCATTTAAGAGATAAGAAATTAAATAAATGACTTAAGGTAAGATATAATAGATCAATATGATAGGACACTAAGCATGATTAGGGTAGGATATGAATTTCATTTCCTTACACTAGTTTAGAAAATAATATAACAAGCCGCTTCAAAAATAACTCCTTTACTTGTGGCGAGATAGCGTTACTCGCTTTCTACAAATGATAAGGCACATCAAAACTACAAGTGAAATTGACGTAATTATGTTTGTAAACTATATTGGTTTAGGTCATACTCGATTGCACTCAAATCTCAGTTAATAGTTAAATGATAAATAACATTCTGCGATAAAGGATGGAAAATACATATATTTCAAACCTATGAAAAGTAAAAAAAAGGTAACCAGAAAATGTAAAACAATTGAACTTTATATCCAATAAATATATTTCTGCTTAGAAAAAAATTATGCTCTAATTCTCAACTTAAATTTCCTATAACAACGAAATAAAACTAACCATTTACTATTTTTATTATTTTTACTTTGATTTAAAGTTTAAATTTTGAAACTGATTTAAAATTTTTTTGCTCCACAGATCTAATTATTTATTTTTTTAAAAATACTAATTGTTCAGGCTCATTTTTATATATATTTTTGGAGATGAATACAGTATACAAATAAAATAAAATAATTTTTAAAAAATTATCTAATAGTTCTGCATGAAAAAGTGGAAAATAGTAAAATATTACTGATACATTCACAGTTAATTATGTTCATTTTATATAAGATTTAACTTAAAATGTGTTGCAACAATTTTCATGAAATTTTTAAAGAAAGTCAGATGAAAATTCAGAGGTATAATCAATGTTATTTTTATTCAAAAATCATCGAATTTCATGTTTTCTTTAAGAAATGGAAAAGGTTTCTAAGGAAAAACTCATTGTTATAATCTGTCCAGAAACTAGGTGTCCTAAGATATTGTACCGGGGTATAACACTCAGTTCAAATCAATAAAAAATAATAACTAAAATATAAATAATATATAAATTGGATTTATAAATCTTTAAACAAAAAGTTTCGATTTATAAATTTACATTTGCGTGCAGTTTTCGTAAATATAGATCAGGGATTTCCAACTTATATGAGGCCGGGGGCCTCAATTAAAAACACCAGTCAAATGGCGGGTCTCAACTTTACCAAAATTTTATATAGGACTCTTTTATGTTTGAAGGAACATTAAATATTACTGTCAGCTTTTTATCAAGTTGTTCGAAACAAAAATATTGAATTACAAATTTAAATAAGAAATAGATTTGTACCTGAGAAATACATTTTCTTACACCATTGGTGTTTAAAATTTCACAGAAACAAAGAAATTAAGTTGTTTTTAAACGAAGAAAAGTACTTATAACACTTAAAGATTTTTTACGAAATTTGTCAGCAGAAAATGTCATCAAATATATTTTACTTCGTGGGTCACAAAAAAAGGCTTCGCAGGCTGGGTGTGGCCCTCGGGTGGCCAGTTGGTAATCACTGATATAGTTATATTGATACATTTGAAAAAAAAACGCATTTTTATAGCTATTTTATTTTGTCTGTTTTTTTTCTTTTAAATCTTGAAAAAAATCTATATATATATATATTTCTCCTACACGGCGATGAAAAAAAGTCTCATTACAACTCCCGAGTGGCAACGCTGGAAAATCGACCAATGATTGCCGCTAAAAATGCCACATGCCAAATCTAGCTGAGGTGGCTCAACATATAGCGCTTTTAAAAACGGAAACTGAAATAACCAGAGAGAGCATTCTCACCAAATGTGATCTCTTCCGAAATTCACCCTATCAGCTGCCGCAATCTCATACTATTAAGCTAGGCAGAAGTGAGTAGTCTTTGTCGATAGATCTCTATTTTAGTATTTTGTCGAAAGCTCTTTTTTTCACGAGTTTATTTGACGATTTTTGATTTATATCACGAATTTATTTGTTTTATTATTGTTATTAGTTATTCATTGAAAAATGAGTCTCAGTCGTGCTGTTACGCTTTTGAAGTATAATCAAAAGAAGCGTGCTCGAAGATTGGAAGAGAGCATTGATGACAGCTATGAAAGACGTAGTGGTGAAAGAATGCGTAGACGACGTGCTGTCATTCAAGATTTAACTGTTGATGTTGTCGAACACAACATCGGTTCCATGACCGAAATTTGTAGTTTTTGTGCTGCTCACTTCTTGGCAGAAGAAAAAAATTCCTCTGGGAAATATAACAAATGCTGCCATGATGGAAAAGTCAAGTTGGAAAATTTAACTATTTACTAAAAAGATGTTTTTTTTTTAAAAAAAAAAGTTGTTATATGGATTTGAATGATTGTTCTGAATTCTTAGAATTTTATGCATTTGCAATGTACCTAAGTTAATAGCGAGCGAAGCAAACCATATAAGATTGCGTAGCAATTTTCTGGGGTTGGCGAGCGTTAGTGAGCAGGTGGGCGCAGGCCACTAGTATTTAATTATTACAAAAATTCAATGGTAAAAAAGAAATGAACTTAAAAGAGCTTGGCTAAAAAAGCTTGACAGGAGCTAGATATATGAGTAATTTTTTTTTTCAGATTTAGATTTGCATGAATGGATCTTCGCAAATACATTTTATTTTTTTCTTCACCTCATAGGTTCCATCAATGTGGCTCTACGAAAGGATGATGCAAAAACCATATAAAGAAGTTATAAACTATACACAAACTTTAGATAAATTTGTGCAGAGTTGCGCATATATTTCCACTGGGGCAAATGACCGTCCCATAGATTGCGAGTAAGTCTGTAAAGAAAATTAATTTCTTCTATTTGCAATTTTGAAAAATGTCAATGGGTCTGTTTTTAAACAATCATCTTATGTTAAAAAAATGGAGTATAATCATTGTTGCTCTTTTAATTTTTGAATTAAAATTATATAAAATATACAAGAAAGGAATTTTGTAGTCACTTCTTCTAAGATTATTTAGAAATACGAAATATTAGAATTTAGAAATTCTCCTTCAAAAAATAGCCTATATTTTACCAAATATTTGTAACGATAAAATTCGTCTTTAAAAATAATTTATATTTAAACAAATATTTGTAACGATACTTACAAATACACTATCTACCAATAAGTATTTGAACACGTGTGATAGAAAAGAAAAAAAATTTTTATTCATAATCAATAGTTAGTAGAGCCTCCACGATATGCAATTTCAGCATGTACCCTCCGGGGCATACTTTCCACAAGTCCTTGTGCGACGGCCATCGGTATTTTCGTCCACTCAGCTTGGAGAACACATGTAAGCTTCTTCACCGATTTTGGACGGGTAGTACACCCCTTAATTCGGCGACCCAACTCGCCCCAGAGGTTCTCGGTAGGGTTCAGGTCTGGGCAGGGTAGTCCATTCGATTAACCCCATTGGCACCATACCAAGCCTCGGTAACCCTCGCAATATGACAGTTCACCCATTAAAAATGCCACAATGTAGGAAGCACATTGTTATCCAAAATAGTGCAGTCAGTATCTTGCATAAGACTAATGGCGATGTTGTTCCCTACACAATCTATACCGGCGGAGGACGTGACGTATCTCAGAACCGCAGATATAGTCATTTGCAGAGGTGTCCAAATACTTATTGGAAGATAGTGTATGATGCATTTAAACTCATTACATTTTATCTAAGATTATTTAGAATACAAAATACCCTGAGGATAGGTGAATTCAAATGATGCTCCAAGTTTGCACTGTCCACTGTGCTCCACGTTCGCAGTGCTGGCCACTGGGATAGGCGAATCATGGGTTCAAATACTACTGTTGTTGAACACTAAACATTGGAAATTTCTGTGATTTTCCTCTCCAGTTTAAGCAAATATACGATGGATCCATCCACCATGAGTCCTCAACGATGGCGAATTTTTATTAATGCTTAACCCAGAAATTTCCATCTTTTTTGCATAAGGTTCAACCATAATATCCGCAAATCTAAAACATATCTGCTAATTAGACTGGTACGATCGTCAGTGGCGGCTTGAAGTCCATTCACTCTTAGATCACAGCTTCAGTAAGACAGCTTTGTGCTCATGCTGACCGCATTGTTAACAAATTGTGCAGCCTCATATTTACTTATTTGCAGCCTTACAATGGGTTCATGACCGTCGTTAAACAGCCAACCCAATTTTGGGTTTACGGTTAACGATGTTCAACTCCGTAGACTTGTAATTTCAAGCCCACAGGGGAGAAGACAAGGAATATATATATATATATATATATTTT